ACGACCGTTGTTCATTGGTTTACTTATTTATAATCTTGGCATTTTCCCTTTTTGGCTAAAGTTGAGCAATGGCAAAATACCCTTCACTTTAAACACTAAACAATGTACACGAAAATCCTTTAGCGGATATTGGAGTCAGTGAAGTGACAAATAATAAGTTTCATGGCTCGATTAACTCTGCGGAGGTCTCGGCAATTCCCAAGGAGAGCGGCCGCGGAGAGCGTAATCTAGTGGAATAACTTGTGCTCAGCGAAATGTGGCCCGTACCGTACCCCCGCCGCTGGCATTGGACCATACGACATTCTGTCAGCCGGCGCGCCAGGAATCCGCTCTCAAATACCACTTCTGATTGGTAAATTACAAACAAAACGCTTTCAACTATATTTAGACACGGGTACATACTAAGGATTTGTAATTAAAACTCACACTAAAATATAAAGTTTCAAATAGGGAGAGTAATTTATAATAAGCGTTCATTACAACCCTTTCTTGTTGAACAAGACTTCAAGTGGAATGCCGACTCGAGTCCGTTATTACGCTGCGAAACCTTCTAAATGAAAATTCTTTTCTCAAAAACTGCGGCAGTTTCAAACATAACAAACTTTGATACTATAGCACATTGTCTTAATCATCATCCACTTGCCCTTATCTCTTACGGAGGGTCGGCAAAGTACGTGCTGCTTTTCCATACATCTCTATCAGCCGTCATATCTGAATCCTCTCCTTTTTTAAGCATATCCTCTTTCACACATTCCATCCATACTTTCTTCGATCTTCCTCTACCTTTCCTCTACCCTACCCTATTCAATATAAACACTTTCTAGTTTATGTCATTGCTTTAATATCATTTTTAAATAAGAAAGGAACAAGGTTTTTCGATATTTTTTTTTTCAAAAGACTGAATTGATCGTGTCTGAACATTCTAAAAGTTTTTTTGTTCTGCACCGTATAATTATTATTATTCCCAGAAAACGTTAAGGCTTTATAGTTGATTTTATTCCATCCATGTCGAAACGACTTGTAATTCGACTATTGACGTAACGTACTTTTTTCTAATTAAATTAAGTGCCGCATGGATTGTTGATATCGTTGCTTGTAATAACTAAACCAGCCTTTAAATAAAGCAAAAAGTAAGTGGTGAAAGGATGGTTCAATTAGTGAAACAGGACCAAAACTCAACATTTCTTCTGTACACAATACTTCATCTGAAACTTTTTTGTCGTAACCACTAATAATTATGGTTTTGTTAGATGATTACGATAGTTATCATAAAGTCGTCTGCACTCTACACAAACTATTTTATGACATCATCGATAACATGATCTAAATCTTGTGCATAAACAAATAACATTGTCTGTCTTTGACCACGGACATTCCACCAATGTCAACAAAAATGAGGGGAAACAATACTTTTTCAGTTTCAATTTATCCTAAATCCTTTGAGCTTAGGGTTTAAGAACTCTATCACATTGTGGTCATTTCTTCGATCAACATCCGCTCGTAAATAATACCCGCATCCCTGTAATTCCATAACCAATTTCCAGGTATTCATTTGTGGTCAACGAAATACAGTTTACTTTTTAAGAAATATTTAGGGTAAGGAATTGCGGTCGAAGTTTGTTAAGATCTGATTAACTTAATCAACAAAGGATAACGATTTATTACTAACACTATAGAGATAATATTATAGTTAAACTAGCTTTCGCACGCGACTCCGTCCGCGTGGTAATAAAAAAAAACAAAATGATTGGCCAATGTGTTTTCCAGACTATCCTCTACATCTATACCAAATTTCATCGAAATCCGTTCAGTCGTTTAGACTACAAACTCTAACAAACATCCATCCATCCATCTAAAATTTCGCATTTATAATATTAGTATGATAGTATGATTTGACATTTGATGACCCACACAGTTCTTCATATACCATTTAGTGACAAAGGGATATTGTAGCTATTTATGTTATGAAGGGGCGCCACAGCTATAATTAAAATTTGCATCTTTTCCCTTCCATCTGTATCCTTTTACACATCTGTATTTATGTTTTACATTGAAGTAAATTCTTCTTAAACGATCTTGTTCTGTTGACATCAAAATTGAAGACTGCAGGTAGAGTCATTCGGGCAAGGGACGATGTTCTCGGTCACGTAAGAGATTAGAAATGAAACCAGTCTAGCTTAAACTTGTTGGCTTTAACGATAAGCCGACCGGAAGCTTGACAGCCGTTTATTTAGTACCCGAATTTAACTCAAAGAAGCTTCACTGTTCACTGCGACATTTTGAAAATGATGGTTTTGTTTACTCAACTCTGATAATCGATTGAAGTATCCTCTCTTTTTAGAAACCGAAATGGGATTGCATATGTACAAACTAGTATAGCGAAACGAAAATATTAACGAAGAAACAACGGACAGGCCTTCCGCACGTTACACAGATGTAATAAAAAAGTAACATAAAACAAGTTTGAATATACATATTAAAATAAGGTATAGTTTAATATGATTTTGAATTTCGTAATTTCGGCTAATCTTATTCATATTATAAATGCGAAAGTTTAGATGGATGGATGAATGTTTGTTAGTTTGTATCCCAAACGGCTGAACGGATCTTGATGAAATTTGGGATAGATGTAGAGAAGTCTAGAAGAACACATAGGCCACTCACTTTTGTTTTTTTTTTTAATTCCAGGAGTCGCGGGCGAAAGCTAGTCAGTGATAAATTAGAGTATTTCTACTATATCTGTATTGTTAGGATTCAGATTTGCCTGTGCACAAAAACAATTCGTCGATAGCTAATAGTACAAACCTAATCGACCTTTATATCCATTTGGGAATGTTCATTTGTGTGTTGTAAATTAGTGAATAGTTGAAAATGTTTTAGAGTACTCAGTAATGATCATCGTAACAGTTATTTTAGAGGCTGGCATGCCGCAAGAGAGTAATCCAAAAATTAGTTCCAATTAGTAAAAATTGACTTAAAACAATTGAAAATTTAGTGCGATTTGTTTTTCCCTTTTTAAGTTTACTCAGTTACACAGTTACAGTTTTTCAGTTTACTTTTAGAAGGATCGATTACTTCGTCAAAACGACGGGAAATACTCGCAAACAATGAAAGAAGCTGAAAAAAGTATTTGTGCAGTAGTAAACTAACTAGCAGATATCTTTGAAAAGTGATCGCTTCGCTCTTTTGGCGAAATCAGGTGGTCGCTGCTCAGTTTGCTACCTTATACTAATGATAATCAGAATAACTCTTGTGATACTATTGTTTTAAAATGATAAACGCTCCTAATACTTGAGTTATATATACGATTACAAAACATTTGCCTATTCCCGTCGCCGGATAGACAATTTATATTCCAACACAGACGTATAAATAACGAAAACTCAGTTGGATATTGAATACGGTTATGAGGACGGATGCCGGGCGAGTAACGCTGCGCTGTCGTTTGGCGCATTTTGAATTTTTATCACGCACAGCTCTCCCGCCGGCTACGATCATCTTCGGAGTAAACTCACGATCGCCCGTCATGAATATTCATCCAGATAAATATACTAGCTGTTAGATCCAGGCGTCTTCTGTGTCCATTTTCGTTTTTGTTTGAAAATAATAGTATCAAAGCTATTTAAAAAAAATATTGAATGTAAATGAGAGGGAAAAATCTACTTTCATTATTAGCACATTCTTCTGTCCATAAATCTGTAATGATTTGCAGTTCCTTTATATGGCTATGTTTATGTAGCAATGGGATTTCTGTTTTGGACAAAGATAGTTCTTATCTAGCAAACTACAACAAAATTGGTATTTGTAATCTAATCTGTTGATGATTAGATTGTGATTAATAAGTCTGTTGAATTTATTTTTTTTCACACTACATACTCTTTTACTCATTGTTAACTTTAACAAATTTTTTTTCATTGTTTAATTTATAGCAAACTAAACTGTAATTATTATGAAACTTTAAAAAAAAGAAAAAAATTCATCCCTCTATATGCAACAAAACATCTTGATATTATTTTTTAATTCATAAACTCTTGACCATGATCCCACTTAGATTAAAGTAAAGATTTGTTCGAAGGATGATTTAGCATAGTTGTAGAGCATAGTGTGGAGGAACACAGAAACTGCTAATATACTGTTTTTTAATCTGTGCAGATATTGTTGTGAGCCACAGTTTGTGTTTACTTAAAGTGTTGCTTCACAAGTGATAATAAAATGCCACTACAAAAGGTATCAGTTATCTTTTGTGTTATCTAGTTAAAAGAAAGTGAAGATACCAATGTGTAGCATATTATTCCACTTTATAATATCTAAGCAACAGATAACTCATTAACACCTAAAAATGGTTTGTTACAAAGTATCATTGTTTTAAGGTAGTCCTAAGTGTGGATAAGACTCACTGTTCAGCATTAACAAAATTTTCAAAAGCATTTTTTATCTAATTAAAGGAAAAGAGCATTTTATGTTCTAAATCCTCTCTGGTTCAGTTAATAATAATGTGTGGAAAGTTTGTTTCCAAGTAAAAATAGCATAAATATGTTAAGTATGTAGCCCGATGGATTAATGTTGAATGTTTTAAAATTAAATAGTTTCAAATTAGAGATTGATGATATACTATAAACTCAAAGTCCAACTTTGTTGTCTCCAGGTTTTAAAATGATCAATAAAACCACAAATGCCATTGAACCAATGAAATTAAAGGTTATGTAAACAAAAGAAATGATTATTTGAAATTATGAGAAGTCTTAAAAAACATTTCAGGGCAATAACAAAATTCCATTTATATTTCAGTTAGGTATAAATATTTTTCATCAATTTTATTGTAAATATTACGTTACGTCAACTTGACAATGCAAACTTTTATGTTGAAAACACATTTGTTTGAAAATATAAAAGTTGAATAAACATGGTTTTTATTAACAATTATTATCAAGAGTATGTAATCAAGCTATAAACAATGACTTTATAGTTATTTTCAACTTCAAAAAGCAGTTTGTACTTACACAACCATGCCATAGGCTCCTTCTCCGATGTACTGTAAGTTAGTGTATCTTGGGCCAACTTCAAATACCTGTCCCCTCACAATCTCAGCATTGGGGTTGGTGCTGGCGGCACCTGCGGCCTCAGCCATTGCGACGCGCTCGGATATGCAATAACCACTTAATTACAGATTCACAATTTGAAGAAGACAGTTTTGATGCCTTCGTCAGCGAATATCAATAATTTAAACGAATAACACCAGTGTTAAGTCACAAGTGTCCGACATGAAACCCAAACAAACTCATATATCCGACCTACATTATCCACAACCTAAGTAATTCCACCACTTGTCACTCGCTTATCATTCTCGTTTGCCGTACGCCCGACTTTCTTGGACACTCCCGCACGGACGCAATACCGTTACAAAAGTGAAGTGAGAGTGAATAGGATATATCTCTCTGTCTCTTTCTCTCCGTAACCGCATTTTTACGGTACTAAGCACAGATTATACAGGGATCGGTGACAACTATCATGCCAAATAAACCATCTGCTACTCTCATTTAGAATTTTTTGGTTTTATTCCTATTTCCTAGTTTCTAATATAAATAATTATTAAATAATCATGAATGATTAATGATATTAATGTACTTTTACTTAAAAACATACGGACTGATTAATTCTATAGTTCTTTAACTTTACAAAGAATTCTGAAAACTTTATGTTATTAAAAATAAAGAAGTCGTGTTAACTTAAAACGTCTTATAAAATACTTGACTAAAATACTACATAAACGGAATTATGTTGAATTGAAACAATAGTTTCATAAATATCCATAAAAGGCTTAAAACCTCGTAACCAGGTCATAAAAATAAAAAAAGTTTAATCTATTGACGTCATTTGTCAGATTAAAATTGTCATTTGTCAATATTTGTGACAACTTTTATGTATATTTTGGATCATTCATTCTAATTATTTTAATACGTGTTAAATGATAAGATGGGAGAGAAAGTGATTTTTTAGACTGCAGGAGTTAAACTATTTGCTTATGAGAATCTTAAAACGTACTTAATATCTACGACAGCAGTGACCTCGTGAACCACAACTTGAAGGACTGTCGTGCAATTTTTTTAGGTATGTCGGTTTGGTCAGCCAGTACGGTTGGAAATAATTACCATTACGCGCATCCAGCCAGTCGCGACAGTCAATCAAATAACTGGTGTCCAAACTTAACTAAGGTACGAATATTAAAAGCTTAACGTAATGACCAATTGAGTGCATTTATCTGCAGTTGTAACAAGTTATTTTACGAGTTTTGCTAATTACCATTTTGTGTAGTTTGTTAATTTTTAATATGTTATCTTGTATCGTGCATTAGTATTGTATATTATTAAATATTTTGTCAAATATACTTTATTTGAAATGCAAACAATTTTAATTCCTCAGTTTGTACTACTAGCTTTGTCTTTTTATTAATAATTATTAATTTTTGCATGATTATTCTTTACTTTCTGATTATTTTTACCAGATTTCCGAAAAGAAGGTTCTTAATTCATCTATATTTTAATGTTGATTGTGAATCTGAAGAGCTAATGTTAATTTTCTTTCAATATAGTGAGTGTTGACCGGTCACCATTCATTCAGTTGAGCTGCATTGAGGCCACTGCAATTTTTCTTTTATTAAAAAGTGAGTTAATATCTCAAATCGGGGATTGTCAGATTGGTTATGGTTATTGTGTTTTTTTTGTACTTATAGTATAGTGGACAGTAAGTCTTAGTTACATTTGGTCATATCATTTTGGGTTACAATATAATATTGTTTTAACAATATTTCTCAACATTATTGGTAAATATCTTCTATGATTACAATTTGTTTAAGTAGTTTTATTGTATGTGCTCATGTATTACACATTTACATTTGTCTAGATTTGCTTGTTTTATGTCTTTTATGTTAATGTTACATCTTATTTATATTTCTGTTAGTTGGGCCGCACCATTATGTTAACTATTAGATAGTTCTATGATTAGCATTATAGATTTTTGCACCTAATATAACAAAAACACACACTTACACTTATAGATTGAGTAATTTGAATGGATTAGATGTCTGACATCAATTTTGATTTGTATTATCCTCTGGAAATAAGGGTACAGTTAATGAGTTTCTTTTTCATTGTTTCATTTATTTTGTCCACAATTGATTCATAAACAGTTTAAGTATCCTGATATGTTTTATCATGTTTGTATTACTACATTTGTTTACAATTCTTAATCAACTTTGACCTTGCATCAATGTTACTAACAATCAAATGTCATAGCAAATTCATTATTAATGTTTTTATTATTGCCATTGTTTAGGTAGTTTATGTTGAGGTAAAACATAAGATTAATTGTATTTTTAAATGTAACAAATTTAATACTGATTTCAACAATCATTCAAAGTGTTTTATATAATTTTTTGTTCTCATAATCCATCTTCTTTTTTAATTTTTGGCTTAGTTAAGATAAATGTGTTGGTGTGTGGGAATTGTATGAATTAATTGTGAGCATATAAATATTTTCTTCAAACAATAGGTCATACATTTACAGCTTCATTATTTATTTGACATACTAACATGTTCTAAGTTTTTTAATGATTTCGTGACTCATTTTTCATTTAGGGTATATTAAAAAAGCATATCTACTAAACACAACATTAAATATTTTGTTAATATTATTTAAAGTCATTTAAGACTGACGAAACATATGTTACAATACCCATTTTAACTAGTGCAAATCTAGCCCATTTCTACTGGAGATTTCCTAATATATTTCCTGATCTAGACATAATTCATGTACAACTAGATTTAATAGTCCAATCTTCAACAGCACAAGTGCGTGATGTCGGGAGAGACGCCAATACAAACCGACGATGCTCTGCATACACCGGCGTATTTGTCCTGGAGGAAGCTTCAGCTAAGCCGCGCCAAACTCAAGGCCTCAAGTAAAACATCAGCCTTGCTGTCAGGATTCGCTATGGTTAGTATTGACCTCATTACTTATCCTCTTTCTCTTATTCCAATCTTCTGTCTGCTAAAGATGTACATGGGGCTATATAACTTCTTGCACATATCTTGTCACATGGGAAGTAGTCTCTCTGCTCACTCGATTACTGCCTTATTATAGTCTAACCAAGAAGATAAAATTCCTAACCTAAAGATAATTCAATCGCCTTCTTTATTACAACAGTGTGTAATGTATGCAAAAAAATCGTTTGTTTTACACAATGTGGTTATGGGATTATATTCCTGGTCAGACTAAAGTAATTAATGGTTTATTATTTGGATAAGTCATCGTTATTTTTTATTTGTCTGTGTAGGGTTGTTATTTCAGACTGTACTTTCCTAATATTAGGTATTAATCATTTTTATTACTCTACCGTTTCCCGTCACGTTCTTAAATGTTACAATTATATTTACATTGTGTGTTTGTGCTAAGAATGTAAACTTTGCACACTGATTACGGATAAGTTATTCGAGCCGCCATTGATTTAATTTCGTATTGTTTACGCACAGGTTTAGCAAATTATTCTAGAAAGTTCTATAATTCCACATGTATTTATTATAAATGTCCAAAATTACTAATTAATAATCTCATGTGTTCCTAAGTAGTTACTTATGACAAGGAAAATGATACTGTTTTGTGAAAAAGGCCAATGTACAAAGTTAAATTTATTTCCTTGTATTTTGCGTATTAACCAAGAAACTATATTATCTATAAATTATTCTTCTTAAAACAAAGACCTCGATACATGAGAAGCGACGATTAAACAAAACGAAATGTTATTGAAACCCAAAAATGGTAACTCGTTTAGTTAAGGTTAACTGCCACTTACTAAGCGGGGTTCGTTTCGCTAACCCTGGTAATAATCGAAAAGAGGTTATAGTTATTGATATTTTATATTGTTATTACGTGAGATAATAATGGATATATTTAGATTTTATTAAACTCATTCAGGATTCTAAATATGATAACAAGTACTGTACATGGCAAAAACGCAGATAAAAAAAGCGTAATATATTACCACAGGTTTTTATTTAATAGTCCAAAGAAAAACACCTACATTAAAGTCTTTTAAATGTGTTCATAGTTACGTTTAGGCGCGTATATATATTTCGGATATTTTTCTAAATAAAAAAGTCAATAAATATATCTATGCTTACAGGTAGCTATGGTTGAGGTGCAGCTAAACCAACCGGAGGACACGAAAGTTCCGCCCGCGATGTTGGTAGCGTTCACAGTGTGTACAACATTACTAGTTGCTGTGCATATGCTGGCGCTTATGATTAGTACGTGTATCTTGCCTAACATAGAGGCGATCGGCAACCTCCACAGTATATCACTAGTACACGAATCCCCACACGAGAGATTACACTGGTATATTGAAATAGCATGGGCGTTTTCAACTCTGCTAGGTCTTATTTTATTCCTTGTTGAAATAGCTATACTCTGCTGGGTGAAATTCTACGATTTAAGTGTGACTGCGGCCTGGTCGGCGTGTGTTGTATTAATTCCTGTCATGATAGTCTTCCTGGCTTTCGCTATACACTTCTATATGTCTCTAGCGACACATAAATACGAAGTAACTGTAACCGGTATCAAAGAATTGGAGTTACTTAAAGAACAGATCGAAATGGGTGATCATGATGGTCGAATGAATAATTTAACATTATTAGAACAAAGTAGAATTGTTTGATGAAATATTTTGTTATATCGGATTGTTTATCTATATAAGTTAGTTACGCTCACAGTAGCGTTTTTTTTATTAATTAATCATTGTTCCATGAATTCGCGTTGTTGTAACAATGCAACACCGAAACTTTATCTTTAGATATAGTTTACCTACTTAGATAAGTACTTATAAGTGCCAATTAATGGTCATTGCTTTGTTTTATTTTTATAATGGACAGTTATAATTTTTTTTTGTTATAAAATCATTATGTAAAAAGATTAACAGTTGAATCTCCTCAAAAATTAATTATCTGTGTTTCTACAGTATTTTATTTCACAGTCTTTAATACTGAACTGATCAACGATTGACTCAAAATGTAGTGTAGTATTTTTAATGTTTTCTGATAATACCGTTCGATGTAACTAACAATACAGTTTTTAAACTTGATATATGTTAAATAATCAAATGCTCTTGCATTTGCTTTAAAATTTATATAATAAAGACAATAATTTCATTTACCATCCTTGAGATAAAGGACAAACTTAAAAAATGAACTAAAATAACAATAACGATGTAGTATTGTTAACCTTAAAAAAGGTTTCAAGGCTGTATATACAATCTATCGGTAGTGAAATCCCACGATAAAATCAATCGAAATATATATATACCAATATCCTTGTGGTATTTAGATAACATTGACCTCTATAGATATGTGAAATTAGAGTCTTCTTTGTACTTTTCGGCTAATTTTGTCTATTAGTACGAGTTTCCAACACCGCTACAATAGCGCCAAAATGGCGAAACAAATAGGGACAGAATGCCATGACTTATAACGAGAAGGTATTTACCATCGAAAGATTTGTTTTTTTTTTTAAATACAAGATGCAGTAGTATATTTTTCAAGACAATACAGATATAAAGACGTTGTGTAAATTCTTTTGAAACTGATTTTTGTAACCGCTCTGTAAGCAGGGAATGTAAGCACGCTGTGACTTATTAAATTTAAAAATATAAGAGTTACTTAATTCAATTTAATGAATTACTCTGTGATATAATTAATGACATTGTAACGAAATCTGTCAATACCCTATTTTACTAGAATAAGTTTTTATTTGTAGAAAGATAGTTTAACAAATATTGTTATATACGATCTGATATAGATAATAAACAAATTCAATCGATGCAGTTTTTTAATTTTTTGTCGATGTCACCCAATAACTGAGATAGCCAGAGCTTGCTTTCTTCCAGAACTTTCCTTGAATTTTGTAACGTCTCCTAGAATAAGTATTAAAGTAATCAAATTAATTACGTTTAAATCGCGTAAAGCTAAATTTTCTAATTAATTAATGCGAAAGATTATTTCCTAATAAAACTTACTGGAGGTAATGGATATTCTGTTGGCCGGATACAAAACTGTCGCACATTGATGTCCAACATTTTAGACTTTACACACAAATCATCTATCCAGCAGCCTTCCTGAAGTTGCCCCGTGCTCATGTGGTAGAAACGACCCAAACCATTCTTTTTATCGCCTTTCCAATTACCTTCGTAGCGATTACCATTTACTGAAAATAGGAATATCTAAGACTTTCAGCTCAAGGAAAGTAGGGCAACAAATTGTATTTTACGAAAGTTCAAAATAATTTCTACTATCCAACTTATGTAACTAAAAAGCATTAAAACTTTCAACCAATTAGAACGCGTCTTAGAAAAAATGGGATAAAAATATTTAGTTGCTTATCTTTCGTCAAAAAGAGCCTTTTAGTTGACAAATATGACTTACCTTGGACAAGCATGCCTAAACCTTCCTTGACACCCTTATTCCAGTATCCGACATATAAAGTGCCATCATTGTACCACATTTTACCATATCCCTGACGATATCCTCTCTTCCAGAAGCCGAAGTAGACATCCCCATTCTTATAGTACCACCAACCAACACCCTCAGGCTTCCCTCTGACCCAATCACCACGGTATTCCAAATAAAATGTACCGTTTGATAGTCGATTACTGAGAGTCCCACTACCATGTCTGCGAATATTAAAGAATTTTGTACGTGTTTTTGCTAAATGTTGGTAGCATTGTTTTTCTTGGGACGTTACCTGAAACCTTTATACCAATCTCCTTCATATAATTTGCCGGTAATAGTTAAAAAATATCCTTTACCTGTAAATTATGAAAATCAGTAATTGTAATAAACAATAATAGATTAGATGAAATTAAAAGGACTGAATTGGCCTAAAAATCCATTTTTCGAATGCACACATTATCAACAATATAAGATCAGGGAAGAACATCACTTTTACTTGAGCATCTTAGCAACACCAGAATACGAAGGAAAAAAACATACAGACGATTCTCCTTCTTTTGGGAAGTCGGTCAAAAAGATATAGCAAATTCATAGCGATCTAATTATTTATAAAAGATAAATTCCCTCCAAAAACCCATATGCATGTAATCTGAAATTAAATAAAGACTTTTGTTTGCTAACCATGTTTCAAGTCATTTCTCCAATCGCCCACGAATTTATCAAAACGTGATGTGAATATAGAATGATGAACATCATTTTTTATTGATTTTTTCTCTGCTATCATACACAATGGTGTAAAATTTTTTGGTTTACGGTAAAAAGGCATTTAATTTTAATAAACAAATACAAACATAAATTCAATTGACTCGTCTTTGACACATAATTGACAATTAGTTACAGATAATGATTAAATTCAAAATGTATTATCTGTTTCTGTTTTAGAGAAATGTGAAGCGAAAGGACTGCATTCTTATAAAATAAAATACGATTAAACTAAAACGTTATTTATTACACTTTAAGTTAAATTAAAACTTCAGTTACACTTAGTTAAATATTTAATAACTTTAGGCTTCTCCATGAGCCTTCCTCAAGCCACGACTGAGTTCCACCATCTGCTGATAATCTTCTCTGAAGCCTTGTAGAGCAAGTTCTTGTTGGCTCTTCATAGCGGAGTTGTTAGATATATATTTGACAACACAATCTATACACTTGTTGTCAAGTTGGATGTCATCTTCCGATAAACTGTCAGGTTTCGCTGCTTGCACGGGAGTAGGGAGAACCTGTAATTATAATGAAATAAGAAAATAAAACTATTTAGTTTTGACCAACTTACCAAAAGAAGGAGGTACTCAATTCGTCTGTATGTTTTTTTTTATTAAACGTTTGAGATCTTTAGCCAATCCCGATGCATATTCAATTCAAATTCGTAAATTAAAAATAATTTCGAAAACTAAACATGCCTCTCTTACAATATTAACTTTTACTAATTCTCTGAATTATTTGCTATATTAACTTAGCTGTTATATCATATGCATTGTTGCTATGAAATTATATGACGACTGTCTACACTAAATCATGTTTCTTACATTATAAATATTTAACTTACTTGTTTTACTAATGCGTTAAGGTCACTGGCAAATGCAATATCCTCATGAATGGCTTGTCTCAGCCCCATCAACAGCACAGCTTCTCTTATAACACCAGTTTGCAATAACTCCAACATCAAGTTATCCATTGACTGATGCCAAGTTAAATAGAAAGCTAAGGGACCAAAATGCCTTGTTGATCTAGGGAGCAAATATTGAAACATTTTAACACTACTTGGGAGAAATAAATAATAAACATGAAGTATATAATCTAGAAAAAACTTTAAGCTATTTTTATTAAGTATTGCATAGGCAGGGGAGATGATGATGATCATATACACTTAATTACTATGCAAAAAGAATTTTTTTTTTATAATATAGGATGGCAAATGAGCAAGCGGCCACCTGAATCCACCCAAATGGAAAGCAACCGCTGCCCATAAACATCCGCAATTGCAGATGCTTTGCCTACCCTTCATTGACGGAAGCGGAGACGCACGTAAAGAGGACATTTCCCCTTCCCATGCATCTCCTCCACCGTAAAATCCACTTTTCCTTTTCATTCTTTCCCCTTAAGAAAACGGTCTAAAGGGAAAGGGACTAAAATTAGGCCTCCGGCACCAAAACATAATTTATATTTTACATAGAGACAAATCATTTGTGTTTATTGTAGTTTAAATAAATTTGTCTGGAAATCTTTTCAAGTAGATACTTATTTTACCTCAACAATTTAAAATTGGTCTTCATGTCAACATGCTGATAGGTAATGCTTGTCACTTTCTGGTAAGAAGCTTCATCCGGCTCATATTGTATGCAAGCTCTATCAAGTATAAATTCATATTTCTCCGCCTCCAATAGACCAGTTAATTTCTCCTCATCAGCAAACATCATTGGTTCTCTTACTTTGCGGCCCTGAATTGGAAAGTATATCTGAAACATGTACTTGATATTTTTAGAACAATTTGTACTAATTCCTATGAACTACATTTATCCTATGAATTGTCTGAGAAAGGGCTTAGAAAAATTATTTCCTAAAGTAAAAGAGCAATGTGTGTTAGACTTTTTAAGATTTACTGATTGTGCTTTGAGGTTTAATTATTTCTTTTATATATACTAACCTGATTAAGTCTTTTTCGTGTATCATGGTCACTCATTTGCAGAGTACCATCAGGGTCCCTGAAATTAGCAAACATCATTTTTTTAAGGCCACCAGAATATATATTCCATTGTTTTTTATCATCAGTACTTAATTAAAATACTAAGGGTTTGTCCCACCAATGGATGATAGATGTTCAGATAGGTTAAAAATGACGTCACTGTCAGATAAGGTAACAAAATCCGATATTTCCATCACATTTTGCATGTTGGACTTTTATCTGACAGTTTACAATTCTGTCGAACAGGCCCTTAATATTTCAGCCTATTTAAATGTAACTTTATTAATTACAGAGCAAAACCTTTAACAGCCTGTATTCCTTTTTTAATTTTATAGAATTGAGATGGAAAGAAGCAGTGTTTAAATGTTGTTCCATGGAAGAGGAAGACCAAAGAAAGTATGGATGAATTGTGTGAAAGAGGATATGCTTAAAGCTGTTAGAGATGTATGGAAGAGCATCACATACTGCGCCAACCCTCCGTAAAGGATAAGTGCAAGTTGATATGTTTACAAACCTTTCCACAATAAGCCTATGTTCATTTGGTACACCAAAAGTGATATCTGTGAATAAATACTTTGTGTTGTCATATCCAACTAGAGCTGGATCCTTTGATAAAACTTCATTGATTGGCTGATGTACCTGGAAATGATACAAAAAATAAAGTTAATATGGGACATTAAATTTGCAACATGTATTATATCTTTATTTAATTTGTTATATTTATAACTAGGATGGCAGAGATGGGTTATTGAACCTGCCTGTTTTCCTTTGGTCAGGACAGTTTTACTCTTTTATACATCTTTCATACAATCCATTCATAACTTATCTACCTTTATCTACCTTTGAATGTAGAAACATTCAATCTCAGCTATAATATATAATATGAATTTCTTTATGTAGTCAATAATAATTTGCTACTGTGACTGCCATTCTACATAAGTCTTTCCCAAAACGCACTATATTATTAGCCATTTATATATTTCAATTATTAAATAAGGGACGAGACTACCTTAACAACCGGTGGCATTTGTAGTAATCGAGCTGCAGTCTTATTGGCCTTTGAAAATTCGCTTTGGAGTTCCTCATCTGTTAAAAACTTATATTCGGGAGTTTTAAGAACAGAACGGTTGCTATTTGTTCTTTTACGGAATACTTTTGAAAAGTCCGGTCTAGTTAATCGTTTCAGAAGCGCTTGAACGCCTGACGAAAAAAACTTAGGACCTGGATCTTGATCCCCGTCTGTTAAACAAATATATAACTTATTAAGTAGTATGTGGTAAGAGAAATTACATTAAAATTTACAGAACTCAAATATTTACCGTACACTGAAGGAATAATACTTAATTTTCGACATGAAATAGCAAGCTGAAAATGGTTATATTGTATAACTACGTTCCTCCGTATGAATTTATGTAGTGACATGTTAACATGAAATTTATTGTCAATAAATGCAGTATTTTAAGCTCGCATTGCTCTGGAAGTGTTAAAATTTAATTTTAATTATAGATAATTATAGGTTAGAATTCCTTTTAGCCACATAGAGTATGTAATATTTGTATTTATTTTTTGAAACATAGAGTAACGAATTTCAGTTTATGTGATTGTGATTAAATAATGGTAAAATTAGCTCTTCTGAGAACATTTTAAAAACGAATCTACAAAATCTGATCTAAATAAAACTTGCTATTATTGATTCTACATCTAGTCCTAGAAAAAATCAAATAGGCAAAAACATACCGGCTTACAACCTGTCTATGATGGCAAAACTACACATGATCTGTCATTGTCATTCCAATTCCAATGTGATGCGATTTGTGTATCCAACCAATCCAAATAAAAAAAATAAATCGTTTCAAGGTGTACTAAGGTGTATTGAAGTTATTGATTTTATTAACTAAAATGAGTTCTTACCACGGAGTTTAAAAATAGATTTCCATAACCATGGCAAAGAGAAAACCGGGAGTGAACGATATTATATATGAGTTGGACAATGATGACACCGAAAGCAGCAGTGAAGATGAAGTTAAAGGAAATAAAAAGGGACGTTCTGAGACAAAAACCTCTTCCAAAATGACTGCATACCAATCTGTTACTGATAAAAATGTAGTAGATATGACTATACTTAGTAATTCTATGGACAGTGATAGTGTAATTGATGTTGAAGACAGAAGTCAGAATGGAGGGAAAAATTCTATTGTTGTTGTTGAAGACGATAATACGGAAGAGGATATGAATACTGATGAATTAGATTGTATTATTGTTAACTCTGACGAAAAACGTGAACAACGGAATATTGACGTTCCTGAAACGGTTATTTTAAATGAAGATATAACAGTAGACTCTCCAGCTTCTGGTAATGGGCCGATATCAGTGGAAGATGAAAATTCATCTCCACTGATAACCATTCGTTTCAATAACAACAAGCTGGCAAAAAAGTATAAAGAGAAGCTTAAACTTTTTATAACTGACTTATTGTCAAATGAGAATGAAAATGTTATCACAGAAAGTGATACAGAATTGGATCTTACTGTTTGGTCAGACAATTTTATTACTGTACAGTCAAAAGCAACAGAAGAAAAAGTTGATAAGTCCTTGTTTTTTGTTGATACAAATCCAAATGAAGATAAGGATAATGAAATTCCAAAATACACACAAGTAAGTATAGGATTATATTTTAGTAGTCTTTTCAGTAAGAATGAGAAATTTACAGCAATAAGTAAGATAAAGCAAATATGTAACAACATATATTTTTAGATGAAGATTTTCATGAGTATATGTTATTAAAACATTAATGAAATTACTTTAATATTTTCAGACTTCCAAAGTGATTTCAAATGAAGTGGAAAAAGAACCAGAGCCTTCAAAAGCTATCCGAAGAGGACCAATCTGTTTTAATTGTGGTGAAGACCATATGTTAAGAGATTGCAAGTTACCAAGGAATATGAACAGAATTGCTGAAAATCGGAAAAACTTAACAATGAAACTTGGGTAAGAAATATAAATTGAACTAGACAATGATTTTAATAATTTGTCCTATAAAGTGCTAATGATACAGAGTGTTTCAATAAATGTAATGTGACTGGACCTTGAGCTGTGCACTGCATAATGTGCCCTACAGCTCTTTAGGACCGGCTATCTCTGTTCTAAGTAACAACTTGCTAGAAATTAAAAACCATACAATGAGTAGAAAAAAAATTATGGCTTTAAAATACTAATAATTATAATCAGGGATTATTTTTGATACTGTGTACTCAAATAAGTCATTTGTGCCATTTTTGGTTGCAATAATCTTCACTTAGTAAATCAATACATATTGAATTTTTTTCTTAGTCGATATCATGTTGAAGATGAACAGAAATATGGTCATTTAATACCTGGAAGGATATCTAGTCAGCTCCGATATGCTTTGGGCTTGAAGAGGAATGAGTTACCATTACACATATACCAAATGAGGAAGCTCGGCTACCCTCCCGGCTGGCTGGAAGAAGCCAGAATATCACATTCTGGAATATCAATGTTTGACTCAGCTGTATGTGTTATTTTAAAGTATATTTTAATTTTTTTATGGTTTTTTTTTCAATGCATGCATTTATCAGTCTTAACAGAAAACCTTGTATGTCTTAAAAAAAATAACCCCTATATTTAAATGTAGAGTAAACTTTAGATTATTTATTTTGTCCATTCGACACCTTAATCTCAATTTTACCATGATTAATAATCATCATATAAGAATTAGTAGATTTTTGTCTTACTCAAAGATGTTTAAATGTTACATAAGATTACTTACAATCCTTATTTGAGATAGTAAATTAATTGAAAAATGTATAGGGTAAAGTGATTCTGGATGAAGATGATGAAGAGGGGCAAATATGTGAGGTTGGCTCCAAAGATAAATTTGATATCAAGAAGATACTGGACTTTCCCGGATTTAATGTGCCAGCTAGTTCAAGATATGTTGAGGTATATTTTTATTGATATATTATTTTTTTTATTCAAGATAAAGAAACTATTAAATAACATTTATTACAGCAAGGTCACATAGTAGGTGCTCCTCCGATCTCAGAGCAGGACAGCAAGATGTTGATGCTACAGACATTGGCACCAAATGCAATGAAGGCATATAAAAGGAAAAAGTTGACAATGTTCCCATCGGGTACACCAAATGACTCACAAATCAGTCAAACCGAAATGGAACTTGATAGTGGCGATGGTGAGTAAAAATTCTTTTTAATCTTAATTGCAGGAGTTTTAGTAGTATTGTGAACTGTACATACAGGAAACATTTCTCTGCTCAAGCCAGACAAAGTTTGTTTGTAATTTTTAAATTGTGATTTTTAAATTATAGTACCTAGCCAAATCTAGTAGATTCTAGAATAGATATTCTGAAGTGAAATCTAATCTTATTATTTTATGTACATTAATCTAAAGCATTTAGATTTAGCATGACCCTGGGGCTTAATAGCCTTACATACTAATAATTATATCCTTATGAAATATTAAGGAAGTGCCAATCTAAATATATATGTTAAATTAATAGAAGTAAGTGAGTTCCCACTGGTGCCGCCCCTGCCCGACGAGGCGCCGCCCCCGCAACCGCCGCCCCCCGTCGCGCCGCCGCCCCCAGTCTCGCCCCAACACATATCAAGACAAGGTATACTTGCAACTAAGACATGAATTTTACGATCATATTGTTACTTGAATGTATCTTTTCCCTGCGACTTCGTCTGCACGAAATTAAAAAGAAACATTAAAATTAGTAATAATGTAGCTTTAATGGTCTAAGATTTTTTGAAATCAGTCAAGTTTCGGAGCCTATTCAATGCTGTTTGTATTTCATGAAATCTTTCCTTGTTATCTACAGAAACATTTACGTGTTAACTAATGTAATTTGGATATTCATTCCGCAGAAGTTATAAAGTCATCTAAAACTGTAGCCTCAAGTAAAGTGAATTCAAGTCCAGATAAGGCTGAAGTTATAGAAAAAGATGAAAATGTTTGTGACAAAGAAACAACAGTGACATCTATAGAGCTAAAAGATATTCCAATACCTGATGATTATATTATCCTCGATGAAGATTTTGAAGACTATGAGGTATTTATAAATTTGAATTTTGCATGGCTTGATATTCATTTGGACATTGATAATTCAATGGCTCCTATGTAGACTATAAGTCAATTTTGCGATTTACATAATATTTTATATTATTTAGACTTGATAAATACTAATTTCTTTGTAAAAATTAAAGTATTCATTGTTAAAAATTTGCGTTTCAAACATAAGACTGTTTACGTAGGAGCCATCGAATTATGATGGCTAGTATTAGTAACTTAGCTATGGATTCATAGAAAAGAGAAGATTTTGTATTAATATCACTAATAAAAAAAGCACTATAAAACCCATCATATACCAATAAATATGCAAATTTGTATTGTTATTAAAACACTGAAAGCTGTATATCAGTGATTAAAGTTACACAATTATATTATATGTTAGTCTTTTGCTAGCACAACTTAACCATTTTCCGCTTAGAATTTAGTATGGCTGGCCGGCTCTTTTCAGGATTTTTCACAGAACGACAGCGGCAATAAAAGCCCAACGTTAATTGATTTAGAAGAACAGAAGAAAAAACTATTAGATGCTCTAAAAGAACCAAGTCCTAAGAAAGGTATTCCCAACGAATCATCAAGTGAAACTGAAATTGTCGACGAAAAAGAAGTTGTTAATGAACTTGAAACCACAGAATTAAATAAAATAGATGAGAAATGCGACGAAAATGCAAACAAATCAGTAATTGAACCAGAAACTTCCATTGTTAGTAAACAAGTAAGTACAAATAGTGAATCTACTAACATAGAGTCTGAAACTTTTACCACAGATCAGTCAATATCAAAGACTGGTATTATTAGTGAAAATAACATAGATTCTGAAACATCTAAAACTGGACAGTCAGAAACAGGTATTTTTATCAGTGAAAGTAATACAGACTCAGAACCAATTAAAACTAGTCAATCAACGTCAAAAACTGGTATTGTCAAATCTACATCTTTGGGTACACCAATTTTGAATGTCGTGTCTCCGTACCTAAAACTTCCAAGTGACGATAAGTTCGCCAAAGACATGTGTGACGTCATAAACTTTGAGAATTTACCGAACTCGACGGGTAAATACAAAAAGATATGTAACCTACTTAAAAAAGTTAAAAGTGAAGTGGACAGAATACAAGAATCATGATTGTAAAATTGACCACTGAAGCCCGCTAGAAATATTCAGTTGTAACTGAAGAGTCGAACTGTTATGTTAAAATTGTGTGTAGGCATAATTTTAACAATCAGTCGAACTGAACAGTTAAAGTTTTGCCTACACATGCTCAGTTATTACTGAACAGTTTGACTCTTCAGCTAAAACTGGCAGTTAGTACTGAGTTTTTAGCAGGCCTTACTGTGGTCACTTAAAAGTTCAAAGACTTTGACTTTGGTGTACAATAAATGAATAAGTCGTTAGTGAGGCGGATTTATATTTTTTTATAAGTTTAAGTTTAGGATAAATGTGAACTGCCACATACGTACATATTTTTGTTTAAAAAAAATTTACACATGTTGAACAGTAATCCTTCATAAGTCAGGTATGAATAGAAAAAGCATCTTTTACGTTTGTAAATAAGTTCTTTATACAAGACTGAACTTAAATTTTAAACTAGAAGTTAGAAAGATCCTATTGGGTCTTGATAATGATAATAAATATGAATGTTGTTGATTTAAATTTACTCGCCTTGAAGGGACAAAGGATCAGCTCGAATGTAATTAGTGCCGATACCGGATGAAGTATAGGCGTCTATTTGATTTAATTTTTGATAATGTAAGTTTACCTTTGAGTCTATTATCATACTTTTTGTGTTGAGCTATTTCATAATACAATCACCTCTGAATTCATTGAAATAAACGAAGTTAGAGTGCATCAAAGGTTTAAAAAATAATTAATTTTGATGACTTTTTTATCTACCTCATATTTAATAACCAATATGAAGTCAATAAATGAAAAAATTGATAAACTTCTCCCAGATCTTTAGTGGTTGTGATCTAATTTAGGTTATATTTTGTATGTTTATTTCAGCATTCATATTTTACATTGAATCATGCATTTAAAAACACAGGTAGTTTGGGTGCTGCTTTATACTTATTTTCCTATACCTAAACTGTTTCCCGTTGGACCGAATAATTCTATAGATTCGAATGGCCCACCACCAACAGGAAACGCCCACTTTAAATAAGGGTTATTGTTCAAATTGACATCTTCATTTGTCTGTTTTTTTTTGTATGTGGACAGTTTTTTCTAAAAGCAATTTGAAGTTTTTATTTGACGCGTAAATTAAATATAAAATAATGTACCCTTACAAACAAAATGGTTGCAGTTGTCCAATAAAATTTACCATATTAGGATTATATCCTATCATTTGGCTAGTATTTTTTGTCATTTATTTCTACGGCTGAAACGTATGCTTATTTATAAAGGTGAGTAAAATAGAATAAGTCGTAATTAAATTATTTGCGACCCTTATTATGTAACAAATGGGTGTGTTCGGTAATAGAAACCTTCGTTAAATATAACCTAAGTTCTAAAGTCATACATAATAAGATTAAAATAATGCCTAAAAACATTTTTAAAATATTCTGAAGATTTTAAACGTAAGAGTTCATTACTGGCAGTTTATTATGGCTAAAAAAATATGAGGGTAGTTATAGGAAAATAAAACAGTGTAAAATTAATTTACATACATTTATTTAATTGCACATAATTAATACAAATCTCGAATGGTGTTTGTCAATATTACATCGCGTGGAAAGAAAGCATAAATAAATCTTTTAAACCCAACCCGAAAAGAAAAAACAACTAAACCTAAGTATCACAAGTGATGTCAGAACGAAAAGTACCTAAGTAGGCATGTCCAATTTTTGATAATACCAATTACTAAAGTAATTAAAAATAAGGCAAGCAAAATTGTACCAATTACAAAGTGATAGTGGAGATGTATAGATGTATTGATCATTAAATATTTTTTAAAATATGAATGGGTTTTCTGACCAATTCATAAATACATACATTTTAATTTCAATTAAATAATAGCACCAATGTGGAAATAAGAAAGGTAGAAACAATAAAAAGATAATAAAATAATGAGAGATTCGAGTTGTAAAAAGCATGGGAAAAAGAAACCCCAATAAGAAAAACATGTAACAATTATGGAATGGTTGAAGAACTAACACTTATAATTTGTAAGATATTTATATAATTTGTGACAGAAGTGTCCATTTTATCGTTAAAACATCAGTTTATTCATCTGATATAAGATTTTATTTAAATAACATCAATACATACTAATTTGAGATAGATTCTATACATTTTGATAAAGAACTATGTTGTGAATAAACAACTAGTTGTCATTTTATAATCAGCTTTACTATCACTACACTGATCTTACCGACAAGTTATCACCAAGATTCATACTTACATGATCGGGTTTCACCATACTTACTGCTATATAAATAAAAATCAATGTATATTAGTCCTCTATACATTCCTAAACCATAGATCAGATTGTGATGAACAGCAGAACAGAGGATGCCAGTGTCTCTGGTTCCAATAATAGTTTTTAATTATGCGTTGATTGATTTTATTTAATATATTACATTGCATTGCAACACTTGCCGGGTTTCACAGCTAGTATTATATATATTGGAATTAGTTTTTAAAACTTTTTTAAAGTTATGTCTGTCAAAACTAATTTATTGGCGGCGTCGGCGGTGCTCCGTCGCGGTCCTGTAATTAAAGGAAAAAATTACCACCATAATATTGAACGAATCCAAGCTATTTAAGTCCACAGCTGAACATAAACCTTCTGCAATGCTTTTCAGATGAGTATCAATAAGTCTTTTTGGTTATTTAATACAATAAAATTTAAAAAATGACTGATATATTTCTACATGTATTCTTATAGACTAATAAACTTGTTACAAACACCATCCTTAGATATTACTTGCCATTTTATATTGGATGGTGACCGTGGATGGTTGTTTCTTTAGTCATGTTAATTTTTTTTTATAAATACTTAAATACATGCACAAATGTTATAATACTTGCTATTGTCGGGTCGAACATGTTAATTAGTCATTAACATTAAGTAAACGATGATAATTATGCCAATACCGTTTGCCAGTTCGCATTGTCTAAGTTATGCAAGAGCATGTCATACCGCTAAACTGGATTTTTATGCTATTATGTTAATTTTTTCTTTCAATATGTCAGCATGCAAATCAATCTCAAAAAAGCAAACTGACAAAGTGTACCTTATTGTGTTGTTACATAAATTTATTGTATTTAAGCCTTGTAATATTACATAATCACTACAATCTATGGAAATATAATAAGCGTATGCACTTATATGTCTTCAAAATTGCTGTTATGCAAAATCATAACTTCATAATTTTATGCGCATATTCCGAAGAATACACAAACTATAGCATTCTAGCAAAGTACTGCTGATATCGGATCGTGTTTCCATAACATAATACAATTTTATCACTACCCACGCATGGTCCAGTCACATGAGTACATTTAAACTTTTTCTGGTATGGTATTATACTTAAAAAAGTACATATAGTATAATTTTAAAATTATTGGTAGCCTTATATAACTCAAAAAATATAATCTAATTTACACTATTACTTTAAAATGTTTGTTATAGGTATATATGTATAGATGTACTTGAGATATAACCTGCAATCTTGTAGTTAACTGATATGCTTTTACTATGGGATTTACAAAATTTTGCATAAAATGTGCAGTTAGGACTGAAATAAGGTACAACAAAAAAAATATAATGTAAAGATCTTAAAGTATTGTAACACTTTTTTTAAATTGGTCGATATAAGTATATTTGTAAAACTTACTTGGGAATTGGGCGTTGGTTTGGCGGCGTCCTGAAGCTGGTTGCGGCGCGGACGGAGCGCGTACATGGCGACTCCGAGCGCCATCACTATGAACATCATCAGGAAGCTGTTGCCGGCGGACTCGGGTCGGGGCAGCCCTGGCAGCTGGTCCAGGCACTCGCTGTCTGTGCAGTATGCTTGCCCTTGGCGCAACTGTGGATATATAAATAACTATATTGTTACATCCATTGATTAATATTTGTGATGTATCATACTTATAAGCGACAATACACATACTACAATGGTTCCTATTCATTATATTTTACAAGTGTTACTTGAATATAATTACCTGTGGAACTAGATATATTTACAGTGAGCACTATGAGGCTTATAAGTGCTTTCAGAGTTAAATTTGAGGAAAGCTAAACTCATTAATTGTGGCCGACATGCCTAGCACTTACACTTTATACAAAAAATATTTTAAATTTATAAAAATGCAAACAAAAATGAGGCCCTTAATCTTTTCATTAAAAGCATTTTGAAAACAACATCCATATAAATTAACAGTAAAAATAGAATTCCTTTGTTATTAAAATTGGTAAAATGCCAATGATCTACTTTCACAAAGAGATTTGATGTGTAAAGATTAAAATATAGAAAATATTCAAATTGTGTTAAAGTAGACATGGTTCTTGTTAATATTAATGAGATAATAATTAATTGTCTAACATTTTCATTATTCAAATGAGTATGATAGACCAAATAACCTACTTATGGAAAACAGGTCAAGGTTGCACTGTAATGTGCAAAAATGTTAATCAATAACAATTTAAAATCATGTTTACTATTTCATGGTATTTTTCTATATGATTTAAATTTATTTGAAAGTTAAATTGTAGAGAATTGATTTAGGCATTCAAACACCATAAATTTCTTATCGCAGCAAACTTGCAATCTTAATTATTCACATAGCTATATAACAAGCAATGCAATTACAATATATAGTGATAAGGAACAAGTATAATGTAGAGCTTGTTATTTTATTTAATTGGAAGTTTTTCAATATATAGAATATGTTATTACTGCTTCAAATAATTACACAAATTGATTGTCAGATCTTTGACCTCAATGTTTTCCTTGTTCTGTCATTGAATTGAAAACACAAATAGGTTGATTTGTTGGTAGATACTTAATAATCAAAATAAGTTTGTTGATAAATTATCACATTTGAATTTAGTTTATAAGCGTAAGTGTGGACGTGGAATTGAGTACTTTAATCATACTTGTTGAGTACAAGGACGTATATTTATGTTGCTTACCAGTGATATGAGCCGTCTCATCGCCAATTCATGGTTCCACAGGCATTCGCAAGGATCCATCTCATCAGCCATCTCTGCACAAATATTACAACACACTCAATATAACGCCCCGTAATATTTTTAATTATCGAAATCTTTCTTTCCAATAAAAATCAAATGGTATGCAGAAGAATAGAGCGTAATTTATCACAAAACAGCTATCTAGAAATAACTCCGATATCGAATAATTAAAAGTGATATTGTCTTTGTTTTTATTTACAAATATAAAAAAAAACATTGCCAATCTGTCACAGGAAGGGAAAGTGATGCTGGATATTACTTCAGAAACTATCGTACCTCCACGCAGTGTATTTCCGTTAAATGAGAAATTCGCAATAACTAATGTGAAATTAGTTTTTGGTAGCGAATGCACCTCCGTTGAAATTGTCTAAATAAACGAAAATTGTTGGCAAATGTTTAACAAAGTCTAAACCTGAGACGACATTTTTACACTGTGATTGTGTATGCTTGTAGCTTTGTGATTGGTCGTAGCGAATTACGATTCTCCGTATCGACCAATCGAAGAGCAGGTCAATCTCGATTTTATAACAAGATGTTGCCAGTAAATTTCATCCTACACAATTAGAAAATATTTCAATGTTTTTTTTTTGTTTTTGTGCAAATTGTACGTTTATTATTACAAACACAAAATAGTACGGTGATCCGTTAAAGGTACAATGTCGTCTTTTTCCTTTGTATCTTATAATAATATAGTTAAATGTCATAATGACAGTTTTATGTGTAAAAGACATTGCTTCATATGATGCGCATACGCAACTTAAGGAAGCAAACAAGCACTTTAGAGATTATCGTGTTGGAGCCTAATTTTAGTCCAATTCTCATTTTCGTCAATATTCTTTTCGTACAAGAAAGCAATTGGAAGGGGAAGTGGATGTGGCGAGGATCAGACACAAACGTATGTCTTCTTTCTGTGCGTCTCCGCCCCTGCTAATGAGCAGTAGACAACGCATCTGCAAATGTAAAAGTCTATGGACTGTTGTCGTTTCGCTATTTCGAATTTCGGTGGTCACTTGTGTATGTGTATTAAGAAATAAGTTATACAGCTACAAGATGTTTCACAACAATAAACTTCCGTATTAAAAATTTAGAAATGAAAAATTGAAGGGTATAATTGATGTTAAAGAAGTCGACATTTACAAATTGCAATGTGATCTGAAAAACACATAAGTAGACTGAGAGTTGTTTTTAATATTTGATTTGTTAATTGTTGTAGATTTTTGTGGCGTTCGTTTTGCTTTCTTCTTCTATAAGAATAAAAAAATGGAAACTCGGTTATTCGGGAGGGATCATAACTTTTCTTACTATCCGACGGAAAGAGTTAAAACTGTAAAATTGCTTCACGAAACATCTCTTTTTAACTCCATCATGTGTTTTTTCGAAGCTATTCTTCTACACTTTTATACTAATATCATAAAGAGTTAACATTTGTATTTTTGTATACATTGAAATAACTCAAAAACCACTAGGCTGATTTCAAGAAATGCTTTCACCATTAGCTACGTTACCAGTGAGTAATGTAGGCTATATTGTTTACTATGTTTTAATTTCACGCAGGCGAAGTCGCGAGCAACAGCTAATCATACTTCTTACTAATATTATGAATGTGAAAGTTTAGATGGATGGATGGATGTTTGTTAGAGTTTGTAGCCTAAACTGCTAAACGGATCTCGATGAAATTTGGCATATATGTAGAGGATAGTCTGGAAGAACACATACTTTTGTTTTTTTTTATTCCACGCGGACGGAGTCGCGGGATAAAGCTAGTCTGAAAGGGAGCGAAATTGATAAATGAAAACTTAAAATGTTTGACAGAACTAGTTTTCGCCTAGGAATGAAACACTAACAAATCCATCCATCTAAACTATCGCATTCATAATATTAGTAAGAAATGCTTATAACGTACAATGCGTTTAGTTAACAATTGTTAACCACAAAAATGCGAAAGTTTAGATGAATAGATTAATGGAGGGCTGTGTTATTACGAAAGCATAGGTAAAAATGCCATTGCTTCGTATTGTTTTTGTTATATTGTAAAGTGGCAAACGAGAAAGCAGCCACCTGAATCCACGAAATGGAAAGCGACCGCTGCCCATAAACATCCGCAATTGCAGGTGGGTTCCCTACTATTAATTGACGGTGGAGGAGACGCATATAAAGAGGATTTTCCCTTTATGCGTCTCATCCACCGTTAAATCCACTTTTCCTCTTAATAAAAGGGTGAAACGGAACTAAAATTAGACTAAAGGGACTAAACTTATGTCTTAATATATCCATGACTAGCTGTTGCTCGCGACTTCCTCCACGTGGAACTAAAAAATAGAAAATATAGACTATGTTACTCACTGGTAACGTACCATTTTAATGGTGAAAGTATTTTTGAAATCGTCGCAGTATTATTTGAGATATTTTAATACATGCAAAATTTTTATCTCAAATCTCTTTATAATATTAATATTATTACGTACGTACTGTGAAGCAATTCAAATGACCTCAATGCCCTCTGAAACATTAGTAAGGAGCAGAAAGCGCTCCGGCTTTCAGAAGCAGACGGGCAATTTAATACGTATGTATATACCTATAACCATACGCTTTCTGATATCACTTCGTTTGATGTCACTTGTCACTGATGGCGGGTGTGATGGAGAGATAGGCGTGTCCAGATAAGCTCCGCCCATTCCCAACACTCGGCCACGCCCACACTTAATTGATTTACGCTTAAAATTAATTAACAGAAAAAATATTAACACTCGGATATAATAATTCTATTTGTATGGATATTTTTAGATTCTACTTCAAAACGACGGATTTTTAGGTATTCTTACTTCGAAATACCTCTTATATAATAGAAGGGCAGAATTATTAAAATTTGAAAATAATCTTTTGCTAAGATATGGTTTTGTTAGGGCAAGAACTAAATTCCACTTAGTTAAAAATATTGCTAAAGTACTCTATGTGCCAGTTACAGACAATGTATGTAATTAGAAGAAAGTTCGGTCTCTGACTGCAAAATGAACTTTCTGAAGTCCGATTCGTTGTGTAATAACTAACGTAACTTGAATAGAGACTCCATTTAGGTTACTCTGTAATAGAGCATGATTTTGGTAAGTTTTTTCAGTGTGCTCAAAGACCATTAAAGATTTGCTACAAGAGAGAATTTGATAATTAATTTTTTTTTTTATAACATAAGGTGGCAAACGAGCAAGCGGCCACCTGAATCCGCCAAAATGGCGAAGCGACCGCTGCCCATAGACGTCCGCAATTGCAGATGCGTTGCCTACCCTTATCCGACAGAAGAGGAGACGCACATAAAGAGAATATCTCCCCTTCCTATGTACCTCCTCCTCCGTCAAATCCACTTCCTCTTCCCATCCTCTCCTTATAAGAAAAGGGTGGTAAAGAGAAAGGGACTTAAATTAGGCCTCCGGCACCACACTCATCAGACGAAACACGGAATTACTTCCATTTCACGCCTGTCTTCTGTGTGGTCGTGGTTTTACACCGGGCGTGCCGGCCTATTCGTGCTAAGATGTTAAAGCGGGCACTACCACTTTTAAATTTAGATTAGGATAGAATTAGAGATGATATCAGTTGTCTTATAATATGAATATATTGTAAGGAGTAGAGGAGTGGGCATTACCGAGATTTCAGGATGTGAACAGGGTAGGGAACGCCCCGTGTGACGCGCTCGGCGAGCGGCGGCTGCACAACGCACTCGGCTGCGGGCAGCGCGGCGCGCGGACATGGCGTCACTGACGCGCCCGCCGACCCACACGTAAGTACACTAACTTTTTTATTTAAGACAAAAGTATTGTAATACTTCTAAAATTAAGATTTTTTTTGTGGGTAAAATTCGTTTTCTTTAAATTAGAATTTAATTTCTAGCTGTTTTTTCCTTTTATGTATGTATTTTTGAAGTGTTTGTGGTTTTAATATTTTTTTTTAAGAGAAAAAAAGTCAAGTCGTTGAAAATTCGGTTACTTTCAAAGTTTCTGAATTGTAAAGTAGGGATTTAAAATGTCATGCATTTCCATTCTAGTTTTATTTACATTTTTACTTAAAATTCTCCCAGATATAATTAACGAAACTGATTATTGAAATAAAAAGAAATTCAGTTAAAGGCACAAAACGACATCACATCTTCACCTTGGTCTAGGTGGGATAGTGGTCAAGCCCTGGTTTTTGCAATTTAAAAAAAAAACGATACTATTTTTATGTATTTCCAAATCAGTACGATTTAGCGTACTTTAAGAAACGCGCGTGTCTCCTTAAATATTGTAATCTGTAACATTTTTCATGAGCGTCGGTTTTTGCACCTAGGTTTTTGCACTGCTCCTTTTGTACTCGTCTCTTTAAAAAAAAGTTTTGGCAAGTACGGCGCGGTCGAGCTAACGCCCAGGGCGACTGACGAAAAAGGTTCTATAAAATACTCTAACATAATATTCTTAACCACAGTAGTGATAAAAAAAGATGCCGTAGAAATCTGGCCCAGCATTAGTAGAGCTAAATCCGGCACTGAAAAAATTCTATATCAAACTTTCGTAACATTTCAATTATTTTCCGTGATGCAGTTATTTGCAAAGTGTAATAGATTCTCATCAAAGGTATTTAAAAATGTATTTAAATCACGAATCCGTTTTAGATACGTTAATATTGACGATCAATCCCTCATCAGATTTTCTGATAAAACCTACGAATGAAATTTCACATGTTTTTAAAAATGTAACTGGGTTGCCTAAACCTAATCCGGCAAGGCTATGTTTAATTGATCTCTGAAGGAGTCAATTTTTTAAGCGCAAAACTCCTCATCGAGTTTCCATTATGTCTACCAATATAAAATAAATGCTTGATGGACGAAACGGTGACTGGTCAGGAGTTTAATGTGTGATACAATAACTTTTAAAAGGATGGGAAAAGTTCGCAAAAAAACAATAATTGAAGTATCTAAGGTTGCGCCGTATTGCCTATATAAAACGTTGTTTATCAGTTTTTTTAAATCGAACATCACTGATGACAAAATATTTTGTACAGATACGACAACGTGAGGTTTTCTCACAGCGAGACCTGGTATAACTTGTGGTGATTAAATGATTATTTCACTTAAAATTAAAATTCAAAATATTAAGTAACGTAGGTCAATAGCGGGTAAATTAATTGAAATTAAAAATATTTATTACTTGTTTCCATTTTTCTTACAAGCTATTTCTAATAACTTTCTTCTCTCCCAAATGAACTAATATTTTTATGTGTAAAAATCTCTTTTAATACTGCTGTCGACTAATTGTTTTACTCTGTAAAATTATTATAATGACTGCTGGACCGCTATCAAAAAATCTTTGGCCACTAAAAGCTAAGTATTACTATCACTGAGTCTCATAGACTATATTAGTTATTATAAAAAAGATTTTTTAAGAGTTGTAAACAAAAACTAGCGACTTAATTTTTTTACGGAGGGTATTAAGTTAAAAAATTCACTTATCTCTTTACTCAATTTCTCCTATTCTTTACTAAATTTCTCCCTACTAAAAGATCAAAAAACTCTTGACATCAAATATTGCGGAAAGCCAACTCGAATAACGTCATAACACGTCGATAGGATCTCGATATGCATCGCAATTGGGATTCAATTTGTCGCGCGTCGTTAGTGCTGTTATGACGAGGAGTTTTCCCGCGGACACGCCGCTGCGCGCGACAGCCTCTCAGCCGGACATGCAATACGAACTCGTTAGGGTTGCCATCAACTTATTGGCAAAAAATATTAACGTTGTGTTGAGTTTGCTTCTATAACGTAGAGATAAGTTGCAAGAACTTACCTGTGCACTTTTGTTAAGACGAAGTGTAAGGGCGCGGTAAAGAGCGATTTTCGAAGGCTTCAAAGTTTTGACCGGACGATTAGCTTATGGCCGCGAAAAGATCGCGAGAGTAAGGCTCGATTTTGGTCGATACGTCACCCTGTACATTAGTTAGTTAAAGAAACTTACAATTAGGCATCTCCATTTCAATTCAAAAGTTAGAATGGTATTTTTGACGAAAATTTTATTTTTACTCGGAGACAACCCTAGAGCATCAGTGTTCTATGGGCAGTTTTGAAAATAGGTGCTTCATCATTCGCGGCCGAGAGCGTGTAGCGATTGTCACTTCATTACAGCGGCGCTGGTTAATGGAGGGTCGATTCGTCCGCGTGAGAGCGGCGATTATTTCTGACGCTTTAATTAAGCAGATTTAAGGTCAAGTGCTACGTATTTGTGTCCATGGACAACTTGACGGGAACACGGATTGAGTTCGTTCTTTACAAAGCTTTTAATTTATTCTTTTGTCAACATTTTTCAATTTTGCCTACGTTAGCTAAATTCAGTTATTATTGTCGAGGAAACTAAAAGCTGACGAATAAATAGGTACACTTATGATTTAAAATCGAATGTTAACTTCCATAATATTAAAATTTATAGCCTTGATTCATTGTGGAATGTGAGATAGCGGATCAAAGGAAGACAGTCATTTAATAGCGAAAGGGAAAGGGAATTTATGAAAATAAGACATAAGCTTTGCTTTGTGCTGATGGCATGGTTGAGATGGTTTGTGTGACCGATATGTATTTGTCGCAGGGTGAGGCGTTGCCGACGCTCGAGGCAGTAGAAGGCAGTAACAGCAGGAGGTGGCAGGAGGTAGCAGGAGGCGGCAGACGGCAGTAGGCAGCAGTATGGCGCTGAAGACTCCTACGCCGCGTGACGGCGAACGCGAGACCTGGGGCAAGAAGGTGGACTTCCTGCTCTCCGTCATCGGGTTCGCCGTCGACCTCGCCAACGTGTGGCGCTTCCCTTATCTCTGCTACAAGAATGGAGGGGGTAAGTAAAATACCAACATCCTGGGCCATGCTAATGTAAGTTTTAATATTAAGTTTTCTTTTAATTGTACTTGCAAGTATAAAATATAATGAATAATTTAATTATAACTGAAAATTTAGTCACGACGTACATAGAAATTTGCTATTCATTAAGCGACCTCGATCCAAGTTAAGGTTACTCTTAGTACTTAGGGCTGCGGCGACGGCGAGAAGGCGCAGAGCCCGGCCTGAGAGCCTGAGTGCCACTCGCCGCGATAATTGTCGTCAACCCTACTTACAACACGAATGAATACATCTTCTACGTGTGCTCTACAGTTTGTTGAGCATCGATCCAAAGGGAATATTATATTAATGTATTCTTCAAAATCCAAATGCAAGAAGATTATTAATACTTAGTTAATAAATATTTACCTGCCTGATCTGCCGCCGACCGATTGCATGTGTATTGCGTTTAATTTTTAAACAAGTTCAAATTATTAGTTGAAGAAATAAAATTCCGTTTATCTTGTATCCACTTTTCGGTCTAAAATGAGGTAAACACGCTAATAATTGAGAAATTTTGATTATGCGTAATATTTATTTCGATGGTATCTGAAATATTATGTCTGACATTGTCTTAAGATTCCTTTCATCAAACGTTTAAGTGTGTAGGTATTTAGTATGCGAGCAATGGCGTGCTGATTGCACGTTACCTGAGAGCCCTTGTTGCGTAATAGTCGGTGAACAATTCTCGCCTTGTGCCCGTGCCGGCTGGAGTGCCCGCTCTCCCCTACAGCCTCCTTACCAACTCTAATTGAACGCTTCACATACATGTCCAATGATATATGACCTGGTTGTTTTCGTGTAAGAAGGTTCAACGTCGTAAAATTAAGAAAGAACATGAAAATCGTTAATTATTTTCTAAATCTCTACAAAATTCACAAACTTAACTCAAAGTTATAAGTGGTTGACAAGATAATGGAGATTAGAGGAACTCGTGGCAAAAGACCAGCGGAAATGAGTGGCTCGGGGCGCGACCAGTGCATGACAGTGGCCGGAACTCTGAGCAAATCTTTGATCTCTCACACATCAAGTACAGCCGGTTATTACAACATAGCTTAGGAATTTCTTTCATTTATTTTTGTATACTCAACTAACTTTCGACCTATCTGAGTTAAACTAAGTTAATTCAGTACCTTCAGTTTTATTGCTTTCAGGAGTTATGAGATTGAGCTGACGATTTTAATTCCGTCTCTTATATCTTAGAAGTTTTCTTACTTAGTTAAGGTTTTAAGACAAAGGTTGACCTTTTTATCAACTTTATTGTTTCCACCGTTAATACAGTCCAACTAAACTACAGGCTTCTACTAGGATATGGTTTACGACAATAGTAGTATACGAAATGACGACCACGTGATTTCAAATCCGTACATTTAACCATTAGACTATAGGCATTTAAATTCCGCTCATGTTTCAATTAAGAAAAGTTTTTCCCCTCCATCACAGTTGCGGTGGCTTGCAGTATAACATATTCCATATAACGATGTTCCGACATAACTAATTGCATCGCAGTAGTCCGCTTTGTGCCCTTTGCCCGTCCAAGAGCCGGTAATTGACAATCAAAACGAGACCTTTACGCGACGCTAAGAGAAACTTAGTTAACTCCGCGATGTTCAGGAAAATTACTAACGCAATAAGAGGGTAATAAAGTAATGGTATCGGGTGCAGGTCATCACGGGGGAGGGGCAGAGGGCAAGAGGGGAAGGGAAGCGTCAGTCTGCCGCTAAATTTATTAAGCGGCAATTCTCCGCTACTCGATGTTATCGTTTCTTGTGATCTTTGACAGGTTTATGCTAGAATATTTATTTAAAGGCTATATTATAATGTACTTTATAACTTTAGGTTGCTTAATTATTTACTCAATATAAATTAAGTTATTATAAAGTACCTTAACTTTATTTGGTTTGAACACATAACATTGTTTTTATTTAGGAACATTCACGTTAATGGTTCGCTTCAAAGAGGATATTTTGGCAAAAAACTGTTACTCAATCTACTTTTACGAACTCCCATACTAACCATTGACTGGACCTAAGTCTAGTAGTTAATCATAACGCTTGACACAGTAGTGATATTAGGGTGTGCAGAGATTTCGTAGTAATTGATTGGTGCCATAATTCATCGTGCGGCCGCCATCGGTCACGCGTCATGACGTTTGGTGGCGCTGTCGTCGCTAAATTAAGTACCCCAACCCTTAATTACATGTCCACTTTTATATGATTTGCTAACATATTGGTTATAGAAACATTTATATTACCTAATTTAGTTACAATCATAATTACAAAGTATATTTCTGCTGCACTTAGCATATTAACTACGTTTTTTAACTCGTCATTACATAACCCTGAAATATACGCTTCTATAAACAAAATTTGCTTCTAACTAAATCACAATAGTACTAAAGGAAATAAACAAATTACTCTACAGTAACCAAGTAATAAATCAAATTTACTTCATTATCTTACAGTTCCGATACAAAACCAATATTGTAATAAACACAATTTCCGTTTTGATTTCAAATAGAGACAATACAGATTAAATATTTCTGTGTCTCAAGATGATTTAATACTTGCGTACCGATGGAAATCTCATAATACCCAATCATCTGCGACCCGCGAGCTGCCGGCGACCCGACCCGCGACGCTAGGGACCGTCTGTGCCCGCTCTATTCGATTACTAAGTCCACTGTCTTAGACACGGTCAGTAAATGTGATTTCGATTTATCAGATGTTCAACTGATCCGATTAGGTTCTTTGCAATTGAAAATTGAAATGTATTCCTTGGAGCCTATGCTAAGCTTACGGTTTAATTAAATTCAAAGATTTATTCCTAATTGGATTTAAATGATTCTGATTTATAATTTAATTTCCGTACTTAATAATTTATATCGATTCTATTAAAAAAATATCTTGATTGTAAGCTGGAGGTGTAGGCAGACTACGGACTTCTTTTTGGTTTAAAAAAATCGACAATATAATCGAATGAAAAGTGAGATGAAATTATATCAGATACGAACCGTTAACTGAATAAAGCCACATGATCCTTAATTTAAGCGACAAGAGGTCCCCAAGTTTCGCCACTTAAAGCGACTTGCGCTTAAAGTTATCCTTTCATCCCCTTTATCCGGGACCTGTTGCATCCGGCAGTAAAGTAAATCCGAGATAACTCCCGCCCTCGAGTGCTCTTTTCATATATGGTAGATAGCATTTTCCTTTTATCATAACTAATTTTATATAACTTTAAAAATACGTGATAAATTCGTTAGGAATCTATTTAATTTCATGTGAAAATTTGTGTTTTCGGTATCTGCCTAAGTGGTGAAGGTAGCCAATAAAAAATTTGAACGATGGGTATATAAACGTTTCATTTGGTATCTACTTTTGTAGATTTTTTGTTGCGTGTTGTTATCGAATTCTGCGATCTATTGAAATAGAAACCCACTTTAGCACTAACTTTTCTACTTCTTAGTTGGAGTTGTTACTTAATTACGTAAGAGAATAATTCAACGGCATATTTAACATTGGAGTACTTATAAATAAAATTCATGAACACGTTTAACTTAAATCTCAAGTTTCTTGGATGCTACAAACTTTATTATCGCATATGTCACACTTAGATCAACTTGAAGCTGATATAGAAAATTGGTGGCATATAATGTTGGACAGCAGAATGCGCAGAATTAACATCTTGAACGGAAGTCTGTCATTTAGCAATTGCTAGTGGTTATTCATTCATCAGTCCAACTCACTTGTTGCTTGAAAATCCTTTAACAACGCAATAATGACAAATGACTCGTTCCTCGAATTGGTAAATCGTAATATTTATTAATTCCTGCAATAAAATAACCATATCAATAAAATAATAACGTAATTATTTTATAATATGTTTGTTTGTAGCCTTGTAACCTCAACAGCTGAACGGATTTCCATGAAATTTGTGATAGATATATAGCAAAATCTGGAAGAACACGTAGGCTACATTTTTTTTAATTTCACGTGGATGGAACCGCAGGCCACAGCTAGTTCAATTGTATTTTCGTGTTTTAGAGTGCGAAGCCAAGAATTTTGTTACTTCTAATTTGTCATTGACTTTCGAGTCAATTAGTTAAGTTAGTCAAGTTTCGACCAAAAAGTATTATGAATACTCTCTATTGAAAATAATTTTTTGTCGCTAAAACCATTCCATTAAATTTTATTATACAATTTTATCGCAAAAAGAATTAATAATAAAGCAATTGGGAATTGTCTCAGGATCAATAAAAGCTTGTTCGAGTAAATGCGAGCCTCTTAAAAGGCCAATTACCGCACAATTTGCGTCGCCTGTCGCCGCCCCCGAGCCGACACTGGCGCAAATTATTGTCTTGAGAACGCTATGATCATTTATATTGACGGTGTGAAATCTTTTTTAACATGACAATCAGCTCAGTGGCTTTTATGTATACTAGCTTTTGATCGCGACCCCGACCGCGTGCTTTAAAAAAGAAAACAAATCGAAGTATCCTATGTTTTCTTCAAGATTATTCTCTACAATTTTGACAAATTTCATCGTGATCAGTTCAGTAGTTTGGGCTACAAACTCTAACAAAACGTCCATTCATCCATCTAAACTTTCATTTATAACATTAGTATTATAAGATTTAATTTCCAATGGAATTATCTAAATAAACTAGATACTTTTGATTAGTTAAAGTCGTACACAAAAGTAAACATAAGTTTAATATAAGTAACGCTATTCTTAGATGTTAACGATTCTCAAGAATTAATCGTTTGCGTGTATAGGAGCGTTCTTGGTGCCGTACTGCATAATGTTGGTGGTGGGCGGCATTCCGCTCTTCTACATGGAGCTGGCGTTGGGGCAATTCCATCGCAAGGGCGCTATCACCTGCTGGGGCAGGCTGGTGCCGCTTTTCAAAGGTAAGCCAATGTGATGTCGGCAGAACTCATTTAAATTGATTTTTCATAATTTTAGACGTCTCTATTTTGGGAAAATTATTTGTTTTGCGCCTAAAAGTATATAGGTACATTCTCGTTGAGTAATTTTCTTTATAAATATATCCGACTTAAAAGTATTACTTTGTCTTTGTTCCCTCAGTAAGTTACTCAGTGTACATTAGATTTATGACCGCTTAAGTTAGTCACGTAGCAACTTAGAGCGCTGCTACCCGCTACTAAGTAAAGTGGTCGATGTCTGAAATCTTGACTTATAGGTCTACAATCCTTTCAAACAGATAAAGAAAAAAGCATTGGAAATAATATTTCAACTATGATTTATTACTGCCAGGATTGTGTAGAAGAGATCTAACTACTTACGACCTTAGAACGAGCGCACATCTGAAACTATAGCACAACTGTTTAGTTTAGCTTTGATTCCTATCAGCTTATATGGTGCGTAAACTACTCGATACAGAAAAACAATTGAATTGGCTGCCAAACAATCGACAATCGCTCAAAAGTTGTGCCATAGTTTAATTTTAAGTGTGCGCACATGCTAACAATAAATCATCTAAAATTATACTGCAATTCCACACTAATAGGAGATGTTCTATTATTCGTACAATAGTGATAAATATTCCTGACATTGGTACCAACGTATTGTGTCAATGTTAAGTTCTTTTTAAGGTTAAACAGTGGTAAAGTTGTTGAGCCTGACTTGCACTTAACGTCCATAATTGACACCATTCCGAAGGCGCCCCTTAAGTGCTCCGTACGGACTCAAAGGACCGGGTATACGAGGGCGGCTTATGCCCGGTGATTTCATTTCACTCGATTGTCACGTCGCACTGAGTAGCTCCGCGATATGATTTTAGAGGAGGAATAAAATTGGTAATGGACTGGAAAGGTTCTTTAGTGAAAGCATATTCTCGCAAAGAAAAGGATATTTCTTTTTTTGTTCTACTGCAATATTTTTTATTTCTTTCATTGTGAGTCTGGATATTTCTAGTGTTAAACAGTCGTTTGATTGTTTTGAATTACACGACTGAAATGTAACAAATGAAAGAAGAAAGTCAAGTTACGTGATTTTCTTACTTCCTGGTAGTTTTAATTCTTTCTTTATCAGGTATCGGTTACGCGGTGGTTCTGATAGCTTTCTACGTAGACTTCTACTATAACGTAATCATCGCGTGGGCGCTACGCTTCTTTTTCGCATCCTTCACGACCATGCTGCCTTGGACTAGCTGCAACAACGAGTGGAACACGCCATCTTGTCAACCGGTATTAATCTCCTTTGGTCTTCCGCTCATACTTGCTCTTTTGTAACCTAACCTTCCCATCCTTACCTATGAGAAACTTAATTACCCATTATTTTCGTAGTTTGAAGCTAACTGGGAAGCATCGGCAGTCAACAAATCTCAACCACGTCACAACGAATCCGACTCTATGGCATCACCTCAACCTTTTACTTCGGCGGCTTCTGAATATTTTAAGTATGTTATTTACAATCAAATACAGTCCGAGCGTGCGACCCCCTTTGACTAAACTATCGCACAACTATTTAGTCTCGCGTTGATTCCTATGACCTTTTATGGAGGTGCGCACACTACTTGATTTTTAGTTGTGCAACTAAACAGTTGAATTGTCTGCCAATTAATCGACATTTGACAATCTCATAACAGTCGTGTGTGTCGTTCAGTGTAAGGTGCGCCCGCTTTTAATATTTTTTTTGTAAGATAACTTAATTTTATTTTGTAAAGTATCGAAAATGATCCTGTCAAGATTATAAATAACTTGTTATAATATTTATAGCCGTGCTATCCTGGAGTTGCAAGGGAGCGAGGGTCTTCACGACTTGGGTGCGATCAAATGGGACATGGCCTTGTGTCTGCTTGCTGTCTACATCATCTGCTACTTCTCTCTCTGGAAAGGGATCAGCACTTCTGGCAAAGTATAATTTTCTTTGCAACTGTTATATTTACTGACTTTGTTGAATGATTTCAAACAGTATTTTTTTAAAGATAGCTCAAAAACCCGTGTCCTAGCTTTGGCAGTCCAATGGGCAACTAGGATGAAGATTTTTATCATCATCATTATGTGGAAGAAGAGTTATTGTGAACAGTGTTCGTTTCTGGAGTAGTGTTGATATTTTCAGGTGGTTTGGTTCACGGCTCTTTTTCCGTATGCGGTGTTACTGATCTTGCTGGTTCGTGGCATCACGCTGCCAGGCTCCGCCACCGGCATACAATACTATCTCAGTCCTAACTTCGAAGCTATAACACAACCACAGGTGAGAAGTACTTGAGTAAATATTTAACCTTGATCTTTCCGTTTTAAATCTGTAAGAATGATTTAAAATAACTTTGACTTTAAATATTTTTTCTGATTGCATTTTACGTAATTATTTCTACAGGTTTGGGTGGACGCGGCGACGCAAGTATTCTTCTCATTGGGTCCTGGATTCGGTGTGCTGCTGGCGTATGCGTCTTATAATAAGTACCATAACAACGTTTACAAGTAAGTTCTCACACAAAAAGTAATAGTGAGTTATGGTCGGGTTCCCAGCTATTTTTAACCATTCGTTAAGATTTTTTGTTCGATAACATCATGACATGCGTTCCCAATTTACGTAACTTCATTTCACTCTTAGATCTCTCTTTAAACTTAGATCAATTTAACTCTAATAAATCAATAGGTAATGCTGAAATAATTGGAAACTGCTGAAACTCAGCATTAGTTAATCATACCAATAATACAAATGCGAAACTTCCGATGGATGGATGTTTGTTAGAGTTTGTAGCATAAACGGCTAAACGGATCTGGTTGAAATTTGGTGTACATGTAGAATATAGTCTGGTAGAACACATAGACCACTTAATTTTGTTTTTTATCCACGCGGACTGAGTCGAGAGCCAAAGCTAGTAGGATATAGGAAGTTAGGTTGAGATTTAAACATTTTTTTCAGAGACGCAATTTTGACTAGCGTGATCAACTCATGCACGTCGTTCGTGGCGGGGTTCGTGATCTTTAGCGTGCTGGGCTACATGGCGCACGCGTCCGGCAAGCAGGTGCAGGACGTGGCCACGGAAGGCCCGGGACTCGTGTTCGTCGTCTACCCCGCCGCCATCGCCACCATGCCCGGCTCCACCTTCTGGGCCTTGATCTTCTTTATGATGCTACTCACCTTGGGACTTGATAGTTCGGTACGTTTCATTTACTTAACAACTTACAGACTCGTAAATGCTCCTGCTAGAGGGATTTACAAATTTAACTGACCTTCGTATGGCATAAAATTATTTGGTTGTTTTCATTATAATTTATTTAATACAAGCTGTTGCTCGCGACTTCCTCCACGTAAGTTAAAAAATATAGCCTATGTTACACTGATAATGTAGCTTTTTAATGGTGTAAGTATATTTAAATCGCCCCAGTAGTTTTTGAGTTATTACAATACAAACAAAATACACAAATCACCCCCTCCTTTATAATATTCGTATAGACTACTATACATAGTATAGATGTGAATATTATTTCTCAGTTCGGTGGTTCTGAAGCAATAATAACAGCTTTGAGCGACGAGTTCCCACCCATCGGTCGTCATCGGGAACTGTTCGTGGCTTGTCTCTTCACACTGTACTTCTTCGTGGGTCTGGCGTCGTGCACCAAGGGTGGCTTCTACTTCTTCCAACTGCTGGACAGATATGCAGCTGGTTATTCTATGCTCGTAGCTGTCTTCTTTGAGGCGATTGCTGTGTCTTGGATTTATGGTAAGTTTTTGTCAGAAGGAAAGAATGACTCAGTCATCATCTCCCTGGATTTATCCCATTCATGTGGTGTCAGCACTTAAGGTTTTATAAACTGCAATGTTTTGGCTTTATTTTTGCTAATAACTAAGTGATTACTATGCGAATTTTTAATATTACTTGACTAAATCACTTCACCCGGAACAAAACTACTAAATCGCTTGTTCCCCTTTGCGTTAATATAATATTTGAAAATAAAAAATATAGCCTATGTTACTCATTGATAACGTAACTAATGGTGTAAGAATTTTTGAAACCGGCGCTGTGGTTTTTGAGTTATTTCAATTCATACAAAAATACAAATATTTCCCTTTTATAACATTTACATTATCTGATCCTATGTTTTAGGAACGGAACGTTTCTGCGAGGACATCCGCGACATGATCGGGTTCCGGCCGGGCGTGTACTGGC